GAAACGTATTTTGTACACTATTTGCAGTGGAGTTTGTCAGAAAATGACCTTAGATTAACTTGACCTTAAAGTGTTCGGACATGAGTTTATTTTTCTTCTTCTGCTCCGTTCTTTTTCCTTCTTTTTTTTATTCGAGTCAGTAAACTTTCTTGATGACTGCAGCTTGTAAGAGTGCGTGCTGTGTTTAAGAGTAGGGGGGGGTACAGCCAGAAAGAGGGTGCCCCTCATGTTGCTCTGTGAGTGCCATGGGGCCAAACCGTCACTGAGAACCCAGCCCTCTTGAGTGACAGCATCCTTCCTGTTGTGGTCTCCATGGGAACAGGAGAGTGTTTTCCCGAGTAAACTCCGTGAAGCTCTGCACCACATCAAACAGCGCTGCCGTGAGTCAGCCTGCAGCGCTGCAGGGAACCTCACTAAAGCAGAGCTAACTGCTTACAAGGCAGTGTGCAGGAGTTTAATGGACTGTGGTTTCCTCCTTGGCCTAGTTGGCTGAGCTAATCGAAGTCAGTAAAACAGCTTATGTTCGTCTAAATAGTTAACATACATGCGTATGCTTCATGCACACACGCATCACACTTCTGCAAATCTAGCGTACATAACCACCACTTTGTCACCGTCAGTGTTGTTCAGCAGAGTAACAGAAGGGTTGTAGAGACTGAGGCTGCACAGCTGGAAAACATTAACTCAACTAAGGATGGCAGCTCTCTGCCCTATGCACCCCGATGATGTCATCCTCTACAGAGGTTCAGACTTACACACAGTGAAACCCCCAGTCACAAAAAAAAGCCAAGGTGAGCACAAAGAGGACACATACTCAGGCATACTGTAGGTCCAAGCAATAGAAAAGGTGCTCACAATTAAATGCTAATGCTTAAATGTAATGGTCCGTGTGAGTCTCTATAATATATTTGAAGTTACCTTGTGTGTAATGATTTGTTTTTTTATCTTAGAAGCTTACCATTGTGGGGTAACAAGAACATATTTCGGGGTTTATCTGCACTTTTCATTACATTTGTAAGAAAGAAAGTGAGCATGCAACAGTTTTTAGGCAAAAGTGCATGTTCATATTTTGCACTTAAAAATTGAATCTACAAAACTAAATGACCAAACTCGCTCCCTTCAAATAAGCTAACTGTAATACTGCTTACATTTTCATTCATTATACTACAGCAAGTTTATAATAAAAAAAACGTTATTTCTTGGAATTATTCTATGACATTTAAAGCTAATTGAAAACCAGACTCGGCTCTTTTATTATCTATGTTGCTAGTATATTATTTCCTCTTTCTTTTGCATGAAGTTACTGTCAAAAATAGCACTGGCCAAGCTGTTTCTCCATTTACTCAAACAAAAGGCTCAGTTTTGATTTCTGCAAAACTTCTAAGCAATAACACTTACATATCAGTTACTTTATTGAACATTAATTGCAATAAATAACCCATGAAACTAAAGATACAGTTATGGGGCGTGGCATTTATTATGCGTCCAAGGTAGTTCAGAAATTAGATCTTTGAGTGGCACATGATTAACTTAGCAGAAATAGGAAGCGACAGAGGAATAACAAAAGGAGTCAGCAGATTATTCCGTCTCATTGTGTACATGGCGGTGTTTGGGCATGGGACACGATCCCTCTACAGCTTTGTTCTTCCATTTCATTGTGTGATTTATTTACAGCAGTCTCCTAACCGACTCTCACTAAAGGACAGGTGTCCTGGGAGCTGAGCTGCTTTACACTGTACCATCTCCATGTCTCTCTCCAACCACAGAGGTCGGTTTCCTCACTCTCTTCCATGAAAGTGCAATGTCCTCATCACTTATTCAACACTCACCACCTCGTTCACTGAAAGTTGCCTTGGGTGTTTTGCTTTAAATTCACTTTTCCTTCTACTTCTATTTTTTTTTTAAATGGTGGAGTGAAACAATTACAAAATGCAGAGAAGGTTGTAACTAAAGAGGCTTTCCTCAATTAACCCCCTACTCTGCCTCTGCATAAGACTACATTTCTCTAAAATAGTACATTTGCAGGCAACTTTGATTGATTAGTGCATAACAACAAACATAAAGCATGAATATGGTGCGATCAGGCCTCATCCTAGCATGATGATGGTATAATACATCTAGACTAACAGACTGCAACTCTCCTGATAACAAAAATAAGTACTTGTCTTTACTCTTTATTGCCCATTTTGCATGTGTGCATAACAATAAAGTGAAAGACAACCAAATAAATCTTGCACAGTATAATAATCTGCTCCTGCTTTCCTTTCTGAATTTTGAAAGCCAATGAAAATAAAGCACCAGCAAATTACTGCTGTCTATCTTAATGCTAGAGTACCCCAATATACTGTCAGAAATGTCAAGGGTTGATGATTCCTCATAATGTGTGTGGACAGACAAAATTCATTTATAGTAACATTAATGTAACATGAGCTTCAATTCGACACTCTTCAAATAATCTTATTTTATGATAATCTCTTGCAAATGCTTTCATGTCACCAGTTCAAAATGTGGATAGAAACATACTCACAGCAGCCAGCGTGGTGATATAATGTGAAGGCAGGCGGGGTGAATGAGAGCACAACGCCACGCTAGCTGTGTAACATGGGGACTGTGCTGGAGACTACAGTGCATGTTTGTGTGGGCATATTTTCATGACAGGACCATTGTGGAGGCCTGGCATACAAACAAAGCCCATCTCTGTGGGCTCTGTCTGTTTTAGCTGCTGTTATGTGGCATGTTGCAATGCAGAGCTTTTAATGTGAAGTAATTGTTTTTGGAGGTGTTAGGGAGGGGATGGGGGTGGGTTTAATTTTACTTTACTTTCAACATTCAATGGACATATTCACTATAATCTCCTTTAAAATGTGTACATACACAATGTGTATGCCTAAATGTGTTTTTCTGTGTGTCTGGTTGTGTTGGGCTGTTTATATTTAGCTATGTAAAGCATTATAATAATGAGTGTTTATGTGGGTGGTGGGTGGGTTTTTCTGTCATGCAGACACGGACACTAATGACCCTAATCATGACCTAACAACATCACCATGGTTACCTCCTACTCTCTGCAGGGAGCTGAGAGTGGGCAAATGTCATTGCCTATACATTATGTGCCACTTGAAGACCAATCGACCGACAGCCTTTAAAAACAATGCGTGATGTAGAACTAAATTATAATGTAGTTTATTATAGGTTGAATATGTAAAGCATTACCTTAAATGACCCTAGGCTTGGGTTACTAGCTATATCTGTTTCAGCGATGCTTTGAGATCTGCATTTCCATGTTTTACTTTATTTGTGTTAGTCTACTTACTCTTTTCATCCTTACATTGTTTAAGTCACCAATGATCATGTATACAAACCATGAATCTCCTAAGCATCAACTTTTTATGGCTGAGAAAAGAGAACTGTTTTCATCATTGACACTGCATTATTTTAGCCAATCCAATAGTTTTAAACTGATAATTGTCTTAATACTTTTTCATTTTAAAAGGAAACGATTATGACAAGATTATGATGTCATGTCATATTGCACCAATTCAAATAATGACACAAGTGTTGACATAAAGAATGTGTAGTTCTCTAATACAGTAGCTTCTGGATGCCGATTCCTTGAAAAATAACTTTTAATACATGAAATTGTTATGTATATTTTTTTAAAGTTTAAGTTATTCTAACTTCTTATAATGTGTATTGCATTGGTGATTTTGACAACCATTGTTCCATTGACAATATTTTCCGTCAGTGTTTGATTTATTGACAGTCTCAACCTGTCACATTCAATTTGATATGTGGGTTGGTCCCATCTTGCTCCCCCTCCTCCCTATTAACCAAATTAAATTAAGATTCCAGAGACTGACAAAGATGGCAAAGAACAGTTACCCAAAGTCAAGGCTTTAAAATGTCCCTCAAGAAACCTTTGTGAAAAAACTGGTCCTAATGTTCATCAATATTTTTCTCCAAATCTATGTATTGGACGACCTCTTGTTCCGCAAGTACGACTCGCAGGAAGAAAACATTGGGAATGTTCAATTGAAAAGGATTTCAAATGGCTGCAAACATGTGAAGATCATTTTGGTCTCGAATGCATATTGCTTTCTTTCTTTCCATTTAGCCACACACAGTGAAAATGGAACATGAAGAATAAAGCAAGACCAGATGTTACTGTGACATGAGAACAATTAGAGCGGTGAAAGTAATTGTCACTGGCACATCTGATGTAATGTCATTTTATGAGCTTCATTTAGCCAAAAGCCCAGTCAGTATCCTGTTGCAGTCTCCGAGCTAAACCAAAGTTGCAGGAATTCTCCATGTTCGCTCTACAGTCCGAAAACTCCAAGTGCACGCTTCATCTATAGCCACCCACTCCCCAATTACCATCCACTTTTCGTTCAATAGCGTCTCTCACCACTCCACAACTCAACCCCAGAGCTGCACACACACTCTGCCAGCATCCACTCTTGAACATTAACCTGATTTTACCTCTAGCAAACACATGAATATGCACATTTTATACACTTTCGTAAAATAAAAGCAATAGTTTATTTTACCAAATCAAAGTGTGGGACAGCGTTTTTGCTTTCCACCGACTTTCTGGAGTCCATTAAACACAAATGCCCAGCCAGCAGATCTGGCCACTTGAAAGGACACGTGTGATTGAGAGAAAAATTGTGAGGAAGAGTGCTGCATAATGAAAATCTGAAAAATGATGTAAGTTTGTATGTGTGTGTGCGTGCACGCAGCAGCTGGTTCTGGTCAGCTGACAGCTATTGCAGACTGTGATTTGTTCGGTGAGTCGGGCTGGGCTGAACCGTGCACAGCTGCTGTCAGTGTGTGTGTGTGTGTGTGTGTGTGTGTGTGTGTGTGTGTGTGTGTGTGTGTGTGTGTGTGTGTGTGTGTGTGTGGTGTATTGGAGGGAAAGAGAGAGAGGGAAAGAGAGAGAGAGCCAAGTAAGGCTGCCAGTGTGTAAGCTCAGCAACAGCAACATTAGGAGCTGGAGACTGGAGAAGAGCAGTGCAGGAAAGAAACAGAAAGCTTGCAAAGCAGGACTGGTTTAAGTGAAAGAAGACCAGAGAGGACAGTAGGATGGAGCCTCAGATATCCTACTGGGCCTGAACAGAGCAAAACACCACTGGCTGGACCCGGTGCTATCTGGACTGAACTGTGTCATCAGGGCAGGCACTTGAGTTCAGGTTAGGATAAACAAGGAGTCTCAGTTCAGGTGAAGCCTACACTGCTGGACGGAATCACGCTGGACTAGGAGACGACAGCAGAGGATTATGGGTTGTTCGGCCAGTGTTGTCCTACTCCTACGTTCAGTGGGCGGTGCAGACTGCGGTCACATGTGTTCGCGACAGGACCAGATGTCATTGGAAGCTGCCACTCCAACCCTAGAGGGTTACACCAATACCACATCCCCTCTGACCATCATAGTAATGGTAACCTACTGCACCTCCAACCCTCCATTAACTTTCTACCTTATGCATGCGTGGGCAGGTAAAGGGGGTGGCAGTATGTGGGTCTGGAGTAATGTCATCATTTTTGGATGGCATGTGTGTATATTTTTGTTTGCATTAATGGATGGATTTTTGTCTTAAGCCAAGGTAAAAGCACCTTAGGTATACATTTTTGTTTATTAATTGTGACATTCTATATTGTTTTCTCTACATATGTGCCTTTTCTTACAAGCATACTTTTTATGTGCCTTTTCTTACAAGCATACTTTTTATATGCCTTTTCTTACAAGCATACTTTTTATGTGCCTTTTCTTACAAGCATACTTTTTTTTACTCTCCCTGATGCTGAGGTTGATGTATGATCAATGATTGGGGCCTGGTCGTTTCTCTTCACAGCTGAGAGGCAGAGGGGCGGAAATGGAGGGAGGAGAATAGAGGGGGGTGGTGGGGTCAGACATGAGGAATCTAATTTCTGTGGGAAAAATCTGCTTGCTCTGCATATGGCCAAGAGAGAAGATGATTAAAATAGCTATTCAAACGGGATTGGATAAAATGGTGGATGAGGGTTACATGGTTGAGTGAATTAATGAATGACTGGATGAATATATCGATGAATGAGTCACTTAAAAGAACATGTGTACCTTTTGTCAAACATTTTTCTTTGCAGGTCAATCAGTACATCTGTTTGGTATCTGTATCCACTAATGGTTGCCAGTTTTTTATTCCGAGAAAGACCCTGGTTTCTGAAAGCCCAGTGGAAAAAATGTTCGAGTTTTGGCAGAGTGGGCCCTCTACACTCGCCCCTTCTGTTTCCCCTTTGTTTTTTTCTTTCCTTCTCTAGTTCTTTCCCTCCATTAACCTCTCTTCTGGTGCCTGTTTTTCTGGTCTCTGTGGCAAGCTAGAGTCATAATAGTTTAAACTGCAAAGTCATGCTAAACTGCTGATTCTTGTACTATAAGTGTAATCTAATGTGCTGATATATTTAGGCTTCACTACAAATGAATGCGCTAACTAAGCCTTTCCCAAATCAGAGAAAGACATTCATCAGCGCTGAAACAATGCCAGGGTGTCTACAATTTTCCAGGCTAACATGGTTTGAAAGAATAAGCACATTTTGTTTAGTAACTTAAAGTAGTTGGTCACAGTTTCATGTCCAGCCCAGATTTGTGAAAAAGGTGTTGGGTTGTATGTCATCTGCATACAATTGAATAACATCGTTACAATATGAGAACGTGGCAGCATGCAGACATTATGGGAAAGGTACTTTTACAGGAAATGAAAGTCATTCATAACTCAGTGCTTACCACTGTTGAGAAAGCCCCTTGAATTTGTTGTCATGAAACCAATGACACAATCATCTTCAACAACTTTCGTCAGCAGACATTTTGGAAGTTGTGGTCAGGGAAAGAACGAAAATCCTCTGACCTCTCTTTTGGTCTCTATCCTCCTTGTTGCTGGCTTCTTGGCATATTGTGTTGCTGCTTGGTCAATTGGCCTTCATTGACAACATGAGTAATTCAGGGAATTATTTGTTAATTCACGGTGGAACGACGGATCCTTAGGGTTTGAGTAATGGCCTTCCCACAGATTAAAATAGATGTCAAAAGTCAACAGCAAAACCACAAAAAACTGTAGTGTGTGTTTTTGAAGAAGCCAAAGACATTTCGTTTTTTAATTTCACCACTACTCAACATATCAAATAAGCCTGCCAGAAGCGATGAGCGCAAGAAAGTCAGACAGTCATCAGAGGAGCAACGTCTCTTCGAAGAATCCCCATTAGTCCCAATGCGTCCCTCCCCAGACCTCGCATTGCTCTAATGATGTAAAGCAGATGCCTTCTGTCTGCTTTCTTCTCCTCTCTACTGTCCCAGTTGTCCCCTATCTCCCCTTATTCATCTCTCTCTTATACTCCCTCAACCTTTCACATTCATTTCCTTCATCCAAACTCCCCCTCTTTCTGCTTCCGTCACACTTTCCGCACATCTTTCCTTTTAACAGGATGATAAGCCCTTAAATCTGTGCTTGAGAATGACACAGACCAGCTTGTGCACATAACGTGCAAGGAGTTGAACCCTGTGAATTCTCTCCATCTTTGTCTTAATCATTTCCCGAGCTTGATTTATTCTGCTCTCCTTCTTTGAGTACCCCAACCCATCCTCCTCTATCTCTGTCTTCGTCTGTCTCACTTTCTAGTTCACAGTTATGTTGGAGGAAAGCCACGCTGTGAGCCACCAGTGTAGTGCTCTATTTGTGCCCTCCACACAGCTGTAGTTTACCAACATCAACACCCTCTCTATCTCACCCCCGCTAAGAGGGAGGGAGGAAGAAAAACAGAGCAGCCTGGGAGTGAAGGAGAGATGTTAAAAAGGATGTTTAATAGGGTGAGAACAAGAGATCAGGAAAGAGACCGAGATAATCAAAGGAAGGATGAATAAAGGAGTGTGCTGCTGAGGACGTTTGATGAAATGAGACGGATGGAGGGATGGAGCCTGCCGAGGCAGCTGCAGAACAGAGGATGGATGGTTGGGGGAGGTAGGTAGGGAGGGAGGTAGGGAGGCTGAGCTGCACTCGTTAAATGGGTTTGAGCGAGCGCAGTGCAAAGAGCATAATTATGATTAACTGTCTCAAACACAAAACATCAAAGAGTTATTAACGATTATTAAATGAAGAACAGAGTAGATTAAGATAAATGCTTAGAAACATCTTGTCCTGGTAGACTTTCAGATTGTTGTTTTACCCTCTCATGTCTCTGATAAATAACAAGATGCTAATTCGGAGGGAAACACAGGACCAGCTTTTGCATTTTACACTCTTTGTATTTGACATGTCATTTCCATTAGGTGTGAAACCGTTTTACACTTTAACCTCAAAACCTTGTCACTTCACATCACTTGACCAAAACTAACTGACAATAACTCCACCTACTTTTAACAACAGCACATAGCATTACACTCTTCCAAGAAACCATGTAGTCTGGATAACCCACACTTTCTTTAGGAACTAGTTTTTAACAAAGATACTCACTATAATGTTTACAGTTGGTTCTGTAGATTATCAAAAGTCAAACAAGGACACTGTTTCTCCGCCTGGATTATGATTTTTAATCAATTTTTGTATAAATTATTTCAAATTTTAAATGAAAATCCGTTGACCTCTATTGCATTAGGGTGGAGGCATAACATTCAGAAACCTCAATGCAAATAAAAAACTACAGATATATTAAGTGAACAATATGTCTTTTATTTTGGAATAATGCAGTACATTGATTTTACTGCAATATTTAATTAACTCATGCTCCCAAAAAGCCTAATGGCGCCACCTCCCTATGTGTTAATGTGTGCAGGTATCTCAGTTTATCATCAGGGGTTGTTTCCTCTTGCACAGATCTCTGTTCTGCTATATGGTTTAATCCAGGGGGAAGTGTAGGTCTGTACAGGTTAAAAATAGATACAATGCTATGGTGCGTTTATATGGTCTGGCATGCATTTATATACATTTGATCAAGCAACATTGGAAACCTATACGTTTTTGTTTTATGTGCCTTATTGTATACACAGTGTCGTGTACATGAGGATGACAGGCTTGCTTTAAACAGGAAGTTGATGTTGGTGTGTTGTTTATATATGTGTGTGCATTTGTGGGCTGACGGTGAGCTGTTACATTTGGACAAAGCAAGATAAGGTCTTTAGAGTTGACTTGTAGTGTGTGAGAGTAGACATGTTATGTTATACCAGATATGTTATGTGTAGAGAGGGGTTGTGTCTGTAGGGTGGGTACTATCAACCGTAAATGAAATATCTTGTCTATTGCACTTACACAAATAGTTATATATAGAAGTCAGAAAGTAAAGGCATCGAGAGCATGATGTTTAGAAACTGGAGTGTCTGGTGGGTTAGTTTCTCGTTAGCAGGGGTTTTTCAGCGAGTGTGTTCTTGCATATGTGTGTGCGCTGAAGTGAGTGTTGGACATCAAACATCGACTTCCTCTAGATCCACGTGCACTGACACAAAATCACAATCCCTCAGTGTTAGTTCTGCTTCTCACAGAGCACATGCCTTTTTGTTTAGTTCACTTTTAATTAAGCTTCAACCATTTTCTTACCAGCAGCAATGAGCTTCAGGAGCAAAATTACCTTCAGGAGGAAAATAAAGAGCAAAAGAGTACGATCGGATTTCTCCCGGCTGAGTATTGTATGTATTTTTTTGTCTCTGCCGATTTAATTTACGATCAATAACAACGCTAAACTGCTAGTGATTGACTATCACGTGGCAACAGTTTAATCAGTTACTTCCATGTGTTTATATGCTGTCAAAAATAGTCATCATTTTATTTGCATTCATTTATACAGCTTTAATGATTATAGACTACAGTCAGTGCCCTATATACTTAAATGATTTTCAATTTGTTTGTGCTTCATTTACTCCTCTTATTAATAATACCTTTGACACATGACATTTAGAAAGGCTGTGACAGTAAGAGATAGAAGACAATAGTGAATACTCAATGGTAACAGATTCAATGATGTGTGTGTTAATGATGCACACCTCACAGAGCTAATGCTACATTGCTGTGGGTGACAGATGTCAGCTCGTGAAGGGAAAGCCTGAGACTTTCCCCTGAAACATCAACACTGACATCACATGGGTCAAAGAAGAGTCGGAATGCACGCTTGAAAACCTCAAGCTTAATGTACTCGCCTGCCTATTCCATCCTGTGTCTCGTGTGCTTCACTTGCTAATGATTGGTGTGTAGAAAAGCCATTTTTTATTTACCCATTAGTTGTCAGTGTTTTAACACATATTTATTATGATTATTGATTAATATGTTGAGTGTTTTTTTAATTCATTGATGAATTGTTTGTCTAAGATTATAGATAGAAATGGAAAGAAAACCAATCACAATTTCTCACAGCTCACGTTGACAACAGCTAAAAAGTCAAGGTTTATTGTCATCCTCTGTGATAAAGACAGAGAGATCCAAATGCTGTTTCCTACCATCTAGAGAAATACAAATTAAAATGTATACAATTAAGATTTACATTAACAAGAAAAAGGGAAAAGATGTCAAATCTTGAACTTGAAGAAACTTAATTAATTTAATTGAGTAATCAATTATGATGACTCTTGTTAAGTGTGTTTATAATCAATTTATGTAAATCTTGTTTTGTTGAAAAGGTTGATTGTTAATGAGTTTTAGATTTTCTGACAAGGGACAGAAAACAAAAGAAATGGCACTGTAAATTAACTGTGGAGTATACAACTTGTAATGGGGGTAAAGGTTAACAGCATACAGGTTGGGGGGTCAGGGCAGTGCTTAGACAGATGGCCCATGTGTTCAGTTATATATGTCCTTCTTGTCTCTGTGCTCTCTGTTGGTTGTGCGCCAAGAGCGCCTGTTCTGACTGTTAGCGTTGCTGTGGTGGGTAAAAGCCCCGGTCTGCAGTGTGTGCATGTGAACCAAACCAAAGATCATTACTTCCTCCGCGTTCCTCCCCACAGCCTGCTGCAGCTCTCGCTCTGCTGTTCTGTTGCTATTCTCTGAATGACAGAAGTAACAAACCATTGGCCGCTATCTGTGAAACACATGTTTGAAAGGTTGGCTTTTTGTATGACTCATTGACACGTTACATCATTCTTCAACATAGTTTTGAATCTCATTGAGAATATAAAACATGTTAGTGTGTCATGGATTGTTTTGTCTGATGTGTACACCATCATTTTATAAGTTCAGTGGTTTGTATACTAAGTGTGTAAAATGGGCCTTCACACAAAGAAGTGACTGTTGATCAGTGGATCCTGAATGTAGTATTTCGAAGTCTGAGGTCATCACATTTCAGTATGTGGGTCTGAATGCTTAGGTTTTAATTTACTGAGAAATCGAGCTGCATCTCAGTGTGTCGGTTAAGAAAGCTATTTCTACTCTTCACACACATGTGTTTAAGGTGTGGTGTTTCACAGTCTCACTTCAGCTGCAGGGCCACTTCCTCTACCAATCTTTTAGGCCCTAATGATGTCATCACAAAACACAGGAAATGCCATGACTAGTTGTCATGGACACTGCTTTTAAAAATACTTGTGCTGTATTTAGGCTGCAGTATTGCGGTTCATGAATAACCCTGTAATTATACTGAGGCTTTTTTTCTGCTTTCACAATAACTGGTCATTTAAAAGAGTAATGAATTCATAAGAAACTTTGAGAAGCATTTTGTTTACTTTTTGTGACCAACTTTTAATTTTTTTCTAGTTGGGACATATATACACAGATACAAATTATGTAAACGATAAAAGAAAGAGAAAAGTCCCTTGCCCACGCCACCCCTCTTGCCATTTCACAGAAATCATACCTGATGCTTGTTAGGAATTGTCTGAGTTCATCTATTTACATATGTTAGCATAACCATTTATACACATCACATACATTTTTTACATAACATTTCATCTGATTCAACTGGATTGACATTGAGTCTTAATCATCTACCAGTGCACCAAGGTGTGCAATTATGTACAATCTCAATTTACATGAATGATCTAATCAAATGTCTCTGTGTTTTCCATCTGCAGCAGGAGAAGCCAAAGCTGATCGATCCTCTCGACTATGAGGCTGTCCTTTCTGAACTGGGGGATGAGTTGAAGGAAGACCCTCTCAGAGACCTGCTCCTATTCCCCGACAATGATTTCTCAGTAAGTGTGTGTGAATGTGTCTGTATTGTATGGGTTACGTGAGGTTTCAGTGGGTAATGCATTCAGAAAATAAGGTTCTCGGTCGAATGTGAATCCTGATTGACCGGCGTGGAGCTGTATGTCAGAAATCTTTCACATCTATAAATTCCTTTGTCGTATTTTCAGAAAGTATTTTACATGATATAGACATTTGAACCTTTGTGTTCCCCTTAACTGTGCATTTTCCTGGTTTGATTGTTTTGACAGCATATAGTATAACTAAGATCCCCTAAATGGGATCTACACATTAAAAGCCAACTCATTAACACTAGTTTTACTTATCTTATTGTCATTTTTGGTCAAAGGACTGCAAATTTGACCCAATTTTTGAGTTAACAAAAGGCCAACAATTGGATTTTTTTTCACCATAGTTTAGATCACAGGTATATATATCTTAATGGATTGTCACAGACACAGATTAAGGCCATCACATAATGACGCCAGATGCTATACTTTTAAAGGTAGGGTAGGTTAGTTTGAGAAACCGGCTCGAGATACACTTTTTGTTATATTCCATGGAATGCTCTTAACATCCCGATAGCAATGAATATCTGAAGTGCTTTGACAACAAATCCATAAAACATGTCATCTGTGGAAGCCGTAGTACTGTAAAAAGCACGACCAATCATTTTAGCCGGCCCGGCTAAAATAACTGGATGGCCTACCTGCCTGTCAGCCTTCCATCTGTGCACAAATTCATCTCGTGCCCTCATTGGTCATGTGCACGTTCGTGTGTGTTGGAGGAGGGGCTCTATAAGGAAGTGGCAGATTTTCTCCGGTCGTGTATTTTCAAATTCTTGCGATCTCGAGCCGGTTTCTCAAACTTGCATACCCTACCTTTAAATGAAACGCACATAATAAAAAAAAAAATAGTGATCATAATCTGTCCTTGCGAAGAAGGTGGTGTGAAACCATCCTTGTTATTTTTGTGGCAATGACATGAAATACCCTCTTATCATGTAATAAATATTTAGAAACACGTCAGATTTGACCCGAAGACAACAGGACGGTTAAGACACTACTGTATAACATGCATACATGACAGTCTGTATAGTTACTACATAGTCATTTGGGTGTGATATTGAACACATTCTGTACAACTCTCCAGATCATAATTTGCCAATAGAACATTGTTAAAATGCAACGTGTTACTTATTTTCCCCTTTACAGCACGACACACTTATTCACACTAATCATGCATGTTCAACATAGTGGTCTTTTCATTACGGTCCACAATTTATTCTCCCCGGCTCCCTTTAGCTCTTTGTTCATTAGTTCTTTCATTACCGTGCTAATACGTTTCTGCAGACACAGATCCACCTCACACTAACATGAACTAATTGGCTGCTTGTGGTAAAGGGAAATGTTTGCTTGTGGAGTTGTAGCTTTAATGGCTGACTCTGCTGATTCCCAGCTCTGTCTGGCTGCAACACAATCTCCTCTGATTCTCTTTGTCTCTGCAGCCTAAAGTCAATTTCCATAATTGTAAGTGAAAGTGGCTTGCCGGAGTATTGCTAATGCACAAAAGGCATTTACTAGATCGGCTTCTCTGCCAGTTGGTTAGTGAGCGCTGCGCTCCAGCCTGCTGATTGGGTTGTGTAATCAAAGTCTGGGAAGAACATTTATTTTTGAATATACATTATAAAACCATAACAATTGTCTTTGCATAATTAAAGTTTAATGGGTAAGGATATTAGTTGTAGGTGTAATCACTGCTTAGAAGTACATATTAAGACATTTGATTTGAATTATTCATCTCCATTGCAATAAAGCTGGCAAGAAACTATTTCTGTAAGAAGGAATGAATGAATGAATATTACATCAAAATACCCAATAAGTATTGCTTTTTCTCTCAAATCATTGCTCATTAAGTTTTGGCTATAAAGCATGATAAGCAGTTCTGATCGTCCAAAGCCTGCTCTAGATGAAACGGGACATGAGATAACTTCTGTTGTGATTTGCCTATTAAAGAAACTGAGCCACATGGCTGTGAACCATCCTCTGAGTGAGGACAATGAATGTCTGTACAAAATGTCATTGCAATTTAAATAACGGTTTTAATTTTTTTAGAACAATTCAATCTTAAGAAACTGGTGAACCACCGAGAGACCATAGCCATCCCTAGAGTATTTGAGCTATTATGGCTAACAATGGACGGGGTCGATCAGAGTATTTAAGTTTTGTTTATTTTCATGTTGGTTAGTTTTACCAGTGAGAGTTAAGAGGCATTGTGGTAAGTCCTTATATTTAAATCTGACTATATATATTTATTATACAAGCATAGTCTAGTATACAGTTGGGTGACATTAAAAGAGAAACAACATACTGTAAGTGTAGTCTGTTGGGCCAACACGGCCTTCAGAAAAGCTTCTTTACCAGGACTCCTGGGAAAAAAAAACATTATTGTTAAAAATTGGCTGTCATGTGTTTTGGTTTTAGTTGAAAGCACTGTCCAAGTATATCTGTTTTTATGTTTATTTTTCTAATTAGCCACCCCTTTCTCCATCGTTTTTTGAAGGGCTGTACATTTTCTTCCTAATGGGAATCAGCGATCTAAAGATGGAGGATGTTATATGCTGTACAGACTGAAAAGCCCTTTAAGGCACATTACCCATGTATTATAATGGGATATAAAAATAAAATAACTTGATTTGACAGTTGGGTGGAGGTCTGGTGTGTGTTGATTGAGTTTATTTTCTTTTATTTGTCATGAATTTGTTACTTTCATTTTCATTTAGAAAAATGATTTAATTGTTGAACGATGTCCTAGACTGAGTGAAATATCTTTGGAAGCCATTAGTGGCTTGGATGTAAATTAGAATTGATGAATGGATGATTTCCTATTGAGCCACCAAGATCCTCACTCATCTTGTCCTGTAATCAATGTACCGGTAGTTAATGTCTAAACAATACCCATACGTGAATATGACATTTTCTTTTTGTAAGAGCACATTTACTACTTTTTTTTAGTGGTAATTGTTTGATCCCTTTGAAGAATATGTTTTTTGAAGTAGCATTTTTTTAACGGTCCCTTCTCAATTTTTTTAACCCTCCAGGTATCCACTGTGCCTCAGGAGAGACGCACTCTCAAATCGACTGTTCCTGAGGGGGCAGAACTACAGGCTGAATGTCTGCTGGTCAGACAGGTAAGGAGTGTGTGTGTCAGTGAGTGTGTGTACAGGACCGCTGTGCTGTCGAATATAAAAGGTTTCGGTTGGTGGTGGTTAGGTTTGTCATTTTAGGCTCTCAATTTAGGACATCCTGACACCGGTGGAGCTGTGTGTGTGTGTGTGTGTGTGTGTGTGTGTGTGTGTGTGTGTGTGTGTGTG